ATTTCAGAATAAAGTGAAATCGATTCATTAAATCCTGAATCCATTTTTAATTATAAATGCATTTTCCCAGAAACGCCAGAATCTCAGGTTAAAGCTCACAAAGCAAAAACAGTAAATGAGAGCAGCTACACGGATTCAGCACAAAGACATAAACACAAACGAGACGTCGGCTCTCTCACCCGGCGGCACGGACACGCCGTCGGGGCTGAAAGCCGACGTCTCGCTGATTCTGATGCTACAGGTTTCCTTGCTCTCCAACCAAAATCACTGAACCAGCAGCAAAAGATCAAAACTTCGCTTCACTTTTACAGTTTTGCTTCCACCACGATAAACTCACACTTCCTGCACAGCTCTCTTTCTCTGTACTCAGGGACCAGTATTCTGTCTCCCGCTGTGAACAGTGCTGTTGGCCGCTGTGGTTTGTTTTGTTTTTTTAAATGACCTCTGAGAAGAAAAAGCCTCATTTCTGCTGTTCAATACCAAAGAAATGTTGTAGCTGCCCACTTGGAATTACCACTCGTGACGCAGAGACCTTCGACTGATGCAACTTTATTCTCTCCTCTTTAAACCACCGACAATATGGCACCGTGAAAACTATAAAGATGCACAAACAAATACCATTAAACATTCAAGTAGAAAGTGCAGAAATGTTCACATTTTACCATAGAAAATTATTTTGATTAGCGCAAATAGTCACATTGACATAAATCAATAGTTTTTAAACTATTTATGTTACAGCATTTAATAAAATGAATTAACAACAACCTTTCTGTTTCTTAAATACATAAACAATCATTTGCATCATTAAACCTCTTTCTGCTTCCAAGGGTGCTAATCATGCTGAACCAGCTAGCCAACCTCCTCCATGCACATCTCTTAGCCAGTCTTTCCACACCACAAACAGATTACATGCATGTACAATAAAAAACGAATTCAACCACATTGAGTAAACTTTCAAAGTTATAGCATGTGACAGATAAATAAAATACATAGTTTGCACGAGTATTTTCAAAAAATAAATGTTTTTACTCACTCTGAAGCAACGTGTTTGTGTCGTTTCACTGAGAACAGAACGGGAAGTCTGACACAATAAAAGAGGAAGTGCTGGGTACTTTTCAAAATAAAAGCGCAAAGTAAAGTGGCTTTGCCGGCTTTTACAAATGTAACTTTTTAAAATGATGCCAAATTGCAGAACTCTGTCAAATCAAACTTTGCTCGGCTTCACTTCAGCAGCATCAGGTAATGTTTATATGATGATTTGTTTTCTTCTGTTTTTGTTCTACTGTAGAATATTTTTTTATTTATTATTCATTTATTTTTTTGAGGTTCTCTCCTCCACGTCTTTCTTGTTTTATCCTCAGTTACTTTGACCCGAAGTCATCTGTGTGACGCTCACACCTCTGATAAGTGTCAGCTTTGTTTTTATACAGAGATATAAAATATGCATACGTGCTGATAAATGATCAGAATTATAATATTCTGAAAATTGTCCGAGTCAGAATCGAATCAGATCAATTACAGAGATCAGAATCGACACCCGGCCCTGACCAGTCTCCAGGCCTGCGTGACTGAGACGATGATGATGGTTTTATTGTCTCAGCGGTTCCTCGAGTTTCTGATTTTGGGACCTGAGGAGCGTTTGGAGGCGGGCATTGAAGGTTTGTGTCTCAGTGAGTCTTCAGGACTCGTTGGTGGTGTTGGACGCAGAAGTGCTGGAGTGACGCTTGCGTGCTGCTTCATGTGTTCATTATCTGTGCAGCCGGTTAGCTGACGTTAGCAGAGCG